GCATTCTGCATGTAAAAAAGTCTTGTAGGATGGGGATTGAAGTAAGGAGAGTTGAAAGAATTGAGTGAAATAGTTGGAAGGACCCAGCCTTTTCATACAGCATCATGTATGAAATCTTTGGGATCCCTCCCTGTTAAGACTGATGGTTTTGACCTTTTTCCAAACCCCTAAGCAGTTAAGGATAACACATTTCTTTATTTTTTCCATAGTTTAATTTGTCTTTATGTTAAATATGAGACTCGAGGCAGCAGGTGAACAGTGATAACAGCTTTATTTACACTAAGTCAGAAGAACCAGAACGAGACAAACAACTGAGCAACAGGCTCCTTTTTAAACAGGCCGGGCTTGAAAAGCCACGCCCACAAGTCAGATAACATCCAATCATATTCAGTACATAAAGACCAATCAGTTTGCTTCCCTCCAGAACTTCCCTTGTTCTGATAGGTCAGTTTACAATACCTTGCTTAGACTCAAGCTCAATACATTCATACATTCTGTTCCATACATAACACTTCATTACTTTCTCCTCCTGCTTTCTTCCCATTTTTGTATTTAATACACATTTTAAGGGATGCTATCTTTAAGTAGCCTTGAAGTATTCCAAATACATGTGTGTAAGCACATAATTCCAGCTCCCACACCCACACATTCTCAAAAAGGAAGATGCCAAGCTGCTGGGTGAATATGTGGGGAGACAGAGCTACACGCTAATTAGTGAGAGACTAGTCACTGGAAGGGCTGTGGCTCAGTGATAGTGCATCTGTTTGGCATGCAGAAGGTCCCAGGTTCAATCCCAGTCATCTCCAGCTACAAGAACCAGGCAGTAGATGATGTGAAAGACCTCAGCTTGAGACCCTGGAGAGCAGCTGCCAGTCTGACTAGACAATACTGATCACAATGGACCAAGGATCAGATTCAGAATAAGGCAGATTCATGGGACCACTTTGGGACTAAGGAGGAATGTTTTGGATCCATTCCAGCTGGCCAGAATTTTCTTTTTAACCATCTTCACTCTGCTACTTTTTCTGTAATTAGGCCTTTGTTAAGACTGGTTGAGCTGGAACAATGTTAGCTTTTGGTAAAGTTGGGAATCCTTGGCAAGCACAAACAAAGGTATCATCTTAAGACAGGGGAAGCTTTGCAAAGCAGTCTTTTATGGTTTATCATCAGCGGAACTGAAGAGAGGCCTGCTTAGGGCTGGGACATCACCATTTAGATCTCGGAGAGACATTAATATAACAAAAATAGTTATTGGTGAGGCTGCAAGCTTATGCACCCTTACCTCAATGGAAGACATATTGAACACAGCAAGATTTTTTTCTCAGTAAATATGCAAAGGATTGCACAGTTATTAACACCAATGGGGCTGTGACAGACTGCACTTTTAAAAGCTTAGATGTGCTGTGTAAACAGAAGGGTTAATTCTTCACAGAGCCAGAGGGCCTTGAGTGACAGGCTGTTCCAAGAGATCTGATTGGTTAGCATCAGCTGAGCAGAGAATGACTAATGAACTGGATGCTTTAAAGCAGGGGTGCCAAACACAAGGCCCAGAGGGCAGAAGCGGCCCACCCAGGGTTTTTATGCAGCCTGTGAGCAACTAGTGCAAGGGAGGGAATAGAAGACTGCTTGAGGTGGAATGGTCAGAGCCACTCCAATTGTGGCTCCAGCATGGCAGAATAATCTCGTCTGCAGCAGTCAAGCAGTGTGGGAGCATCTGCCCAGTTCTGCACTGCTGGCTCTCCAGTCCACCTATGTGCATTTTCCTCTCCCCCCCCCCCCAGCCCATGAGGCCTTGCAATGAGGATACACCAACTCAGAGCTTACCAACTGCTATCCGTTATACAGTTTCTGTCTCCGGTACCTGGCATTACATTTTATGGCACACATGGCCTGTCCCAACAAAGTGACATTTATGTCAGATCTGCCCCTCATGACAAATGAGTTCAACACCTCTGCTTTAAAGGATTTTTATCTACATTCAGAGAATCAGGAAGTAAATATACAAAAACGTGTTCTTTTAAAGATACACCCATAATTACCATGACTTTGATATGTGTAAATTTCAATGCAAAATAAACAATAATGGCTTCTTTTGTCCATTTCAGCAACAACAGTGGATAATGGTCAAATAGTTGAAAGGGTAGTCTAATCCCATATGAAATTTGCAGCTGTCTAAGCTCTAACCAAGAGGACATACTCAAGAATCTGACAGACTATGGAGGGTATGAGTACAAAATGGCTGCTGTGAGAGGTTCAGCCAACCACACAATGTCAAAGAGTGAGATTATGCATAACTCTTATAGTAGCTTTGTGAGGCATAATCTCTGTTTAACCATAAGCCTCTTAAAATAAACATATTGTTTAAACATATTTTATTGCATACACAAAGTAAATATATTGAGCTAGCTAAAAAAAAGCCCTCATCTGGCTGTATCTGTCTTCATTTTGCAAACATCTATTGCCCTTATAGTAATGACAATGTTGGGGGGAAAGCTTCTTCTCTTGGCTATCCATTTTACATGACACCTTCCGTCCTGAGCCTAGCTGTGTTTAACCTGCACTGTTACTTGTAAAAATGACAGCTGGTGCTGGAGGCTATTTATTTTATGTGTCAAAGCCAGCTCGTGTTTTCAAAGCATCCCATCCATTTTCAAACTGGCAATGTGGCAGGCTTTGGTATATATAATTTCAAAGCTCAGCATGGACATTTCTTAAAGCCCAGAAAACCTGATAAGAAAGGTTGCCAGCCACACTACAGGCTATTTGTTCACAGCGGGGGGGGGGGGGGGGGGGGGGGCACCA